TGCTGGAACTAGTCTAGCTATGAATAATAAATGCACTTTATCTGAAGATTGCAGCATTTCCTTACCTCTAGAAGAATTAAATATAGCAAATATTACTCCTCCGGTGCCTAAAAACCAGGACTCTTACCCATCTTACTCGCCTCTTGCTCAAAGAACAGATGACCGAGCAAATTTATTTAACACAGAAAATGGTACTGGCTTAAGTTCAGAATTCCAGCTAAAGAAGAATTTGTCACTAGCAAATAATATTACACAAAAATCACCTGACTTGAAAGATGGAAGCAAAATTGTAGTTGATTCTCAGATTGCAAATGCTTCTGCTGCCAATAATCCTCTTCAGCCTTCACATAAAGACCAAAAAAGAGGGTTTGTAGGAAGCTGGGTAAAGAAATTATTAAGCAAGAATACTTCTTTTATGCCTTCAAGTGCCTCAACTCTTAAAAATGAGAGAAATTCTAAAACTCCCTTAGTGCAAAAAATAAGCGATGTAAGGTTGCCCGTTAAGGGGGCAAGTAACTTTGATGGATTTCAAGGCAGAGGTGCAAACAAAATGGCTGAGACCCCTAAATTAGCAGTTTCTCAAAGTAAAAATATCCATCCTTTGTCAAATTTCAAAGGATTTTCTGCAAACATTCATCTTCCTACAAAAAATCATATTGCTAGTGAAGGTCCAACTTGGAGGAAGTCAAGTGTGTTGGATGCCTCCAATAAAGTAGTTCAGCTTAACTCACCCAGCTCTAATTCTGGGAAGGTGAAAGAGTCAGATACTGATCAAACCAAAAAACTTCGCCAAAAACTGTTAAAAAAACTTAATGCTAAGAAGAAGAAGCTGGCTTCCCTGGACAGGCTCGCAGTGGAACAGATGAAACACGAGAGGCCTGTGAACGGAGGTGGAAGCACCCTAGCTCGTTTTGAATCTCATAATGAATCTCATAATGACAGTGAATTATTACAGACGTTTTTAAGGGAACTGCAGCATCAGATTGACAATGCATCTGATGCAAACTCTGTTTCAGTGTGCACTGGCCATGATGCTAATAATGAAATATTAGCAGAATTACTGTCCCCTGCTTCAACTGTGGCTTCCTTAGAGGTTCCAAGGGGTGAGGAGGAATGTATGTATTTGGAAATGGGGGATAGCAGCGTTGCACCGGCTGCGCCTGCCAGGGCCACCCGTGTGTCACACGACACGGTGCCACGGCAAGATCACAATTACTACAGTCCCGCAAAGGACAGCAGCTCTCAGATTCATGCAGGGAACAAATCTGGCATGAAGAAACTCGCTTTTGAAAGTCCTACAAGTGAAGATATCCTCGAAGACCTGTTCTCCATTTCAGAACCAAGCTCAATAGCAGGTGATATAGATTTACCTCATTTCGATGAAACACTGTTTGAAAATTGGTGAAAATTCAGTTTCTTATTTTTAGTATTTTTACTATTATGTATATATTGAAACAAAGCACTATTTAAATTATATTTTCTAAGTGGTTTAATTGCACACTGGTGGTACTTGAAGAATTTACATCTGCAGTATTTTCTTTTTCCTTAAAGTTACATTTTAGAAGGCAAACAAGGTTTTAATCCATTTTGCCTGTGAACGAGTTATTTTAGCTGTAGGATAAGAGGATAGTTTTAATTAAAAACTCCTACAAGTCTTTTTTTGCTGCTGCTTTTAATGTGGAAAATTCATCCATATTTTATAGAGTTTGAAAATAACAACGTTCACAATCCTTGATGGTATAAGTACTTCCTATTTAGGAAGTACTGATTTCTTTTCAGAAGTCTTGTTGTCCAGCCTAAAACTGACCCTGAATCGGGGATATTTGAATCCCTTAATGCAAAGATCATTGCCACGCTAGGAGTCAAGGATGGTGTTCTGCTTTTCAGATCCACAGGTCTGCAAGCTCTGCCTGGTGTGCTCACTCCCTGGATCCAAGGAGGGAAGGATATAAAGTCGATTTTTTCCTATTCAAATTGCTGAGGTTTAATTCGAGGTTAAAAGAAAATACAATTTTAAAGAATATAGTTCTGAGCCTGCTAACCTTTAAGCAAAATAAATAGGATTTGACCCAGAGTTTGCAGCATTAAGAAAGAGCTAGCACCAACTGTAACTTTCATGTATTCATTGCTGCAAATTCATTACTGCAAGAAAAGTATCCAAGCATTAAAGTTAACTGACCATTAGCACTGATTACTGCTGCCACTAGGAATTTTTCATGGATAGAGCTAAGTACTCCGGTCCTTACATAAGGGAATGCCAAGGAGGAGCAAGGTCAGTAGGAACAAAGTAACGGAGAAATACGGCAAGGTGGGAGTAAGTAAGGAGAAGAATATTTACATCTTGGTGTTTCTGGATTTGTGTATAGCTTTTGTTTTGTTTAATACATACATGAATTCATATATACAAATCTGAGATTATTGTGTGCTAAATTACATCACCTAAAATATTCTTCACATCTATGGAAATAAAGATTTCATCAGCAAGTCTGGTTCAGCCATTTCTGGAGGCACTCTGTGTTTTATTTATCCCAAATTCAAACTGTAAGCCCTTCTGTTGTACCCTTAAACAGGTGCAGTGGAACAGAGTTGTTATTACAGGTCATGGCTGTAGAGATAGATGGTCTTGGATGACTTGATCAGATTCAAAAAGTGTGTGAAAACCTGTCAGTGACGCTGAACTCGCCTTCCCAAACTACTTCTGTTGCAATTGTGGGTATGTTCATGAAACTTGCACTACAGTCAATGAACAACTTCATTTTTGTTAGAAAATTTTTAAAAGAAGCTGAGCACCTCCTTTGTTTTAGAAGTCTTATTTGATATGTTACGATGGAAAAAAATAAGTGGTTTTTAATGCAAAGTCCTGGTACACTGCTGGAGATGCATTTGTCTGTGTATTCCCTTAATAAAAAAAAATATATATTGACCAAAGCTGGAGTTTGACTTATCGGTAGATAACAGAGGTGCCCCAGCAAGACGGGAGGGGCAGTGAGATTTCTTGCAGAGTTTATTGGCCAGATGTTTCCTAAAAGCTGCGTTGCCCCTGGCTCCTAAACGCTTTTTGCAGAAGGTCCCCTAAGGGAGGCGTTAATGAGGAATGTTAATGAAGAAATGGTGCTATGAAAATTTGTTTCGTCATTGGAGCAACAAAAATATCCTTAACGCCATTGGTTCTTTGCAAGTGAGAAGTCAGCGGATATTGGTCCTTCTGAGAAGGAGTTTTTATTCCGCTTGGACTTTGGTGATCACTGCGCTTTTTTGTTTGAGGCTGTTTTACAAGCAGCCTGGCTGATCAGCCTTTCATTTGCAGTGAAGGGAATGTAATATATTAATTTTCTGTCACTTAGAAATATATATATAATATATTTGGTGGGCATACAGCAAATATGAGTGAGCAGTTACGAGTCATTTTGTAGGTTTATTGTGTTCTAGGGTAAATTTTGAAAGGTCTGATGGCCGTATGCACTTGGGATTGCATTTTACAGGTTTTTGCACATCTTGCATCACAATCTGTCTTCTGGTTCAGGAAAGGCACAATTGTGACACTCAGATTTATGGCTTTTAAGGTTAAAATCAGCTCTGTGTGGAAGGAGTGGCTCTGGTTCTGATCTTACTGCTTTATAATATCGTGAATCATTTTTTAATAAAGAGTATCTGAAAAAGAAGATGACGTCTCCTGCTGGCTGCAGGAAACCAGCCTTTCCAAGGGAGCTCTCCACGTGGGTTTTTTTGCATCCCTCTTCCCACTCGCTAGAAGATGGCTCGGGAAATCATGTGCTGCTTTTTAGAAATCTCCCAATTTCCATCTGGTTCATTTTCAGTGTTGGTTGTTGCCATTCGCTCTTCTTTGGACCCTGGGTTTTGTTTCCGAGGGAGGTGCTGAAGCTGCACGGCACAATACAGCGGAAGGGCAGGACACACAAGGAGGAGCAGAGGATGGAAAGGGAGTGTGGAAAAGCAGGTTCTCGCTCCCCTGTTTTGAAGGCCAGATGGGCTAGACCCACCCCTTCAGTGTGGTCCCTATTTTTAAGTATTTAGAAAATATACAATTGATCGTTTAAGCAGTATTTTTCAGTCCTTGTCCACCTGATGTGTAGTTTGCTTTCATTTTAATTCTCAACCGCCGTATTTTCAGTGACTTGCTTTTTCTATAGTTGCAGCCAAGAGGTTCAAATCACAGGGAAAGTCAGGAGAAAGAATGAGGTTGTGCTTTTGAATTTCCTAAGGAGCTGGCACTTTTCATACAACCTCTCTCTTCTTGTTCGCCCCCCTCCTCCAAGCCTTGCTTTTCAATGGGAAGATGAGGCTTTCAAATTCTTTCTTCCTCAGCACCATGAATGTGAGTGCTGACTGCCACTATCTCACATGCCCTCAGCTCCAGTCAAAACTTGAGCAGTGCTGAGGCTAATCAGCCAAACCTCTTCTGCAGCGTCTGCCTTGCCAGTGCAAGGAGTGAAAATGCCATCGTTTGGTGGGGGAATCGTTTCAAAGGTTTCGCTACACGTTCTCCGATGACGCTCAAGCCACTTCCATTCAGACTTATTTCTCCTCCCTCAGGTTATCTTTCCAAGCAGGCAGGCTGGGATTATATTTTTAAAGGGAAAGCTAAAGTGAGGGAATGAGCCAAATCCTAAGAAGAGACCAGCTAGCCCTGTCCTTTCTTGCAGGTGCCCTTCCTGGTGCCGGCCAAGCTTGAGTGCAAAGCCTTTCTGTGAGGGAGGCTGGATAGAGGTTGTGGCTTCATGTATATGTTGCAAACATGTACAGCACATACATACGCTGTAGTCCTGCTGCTCACTTAAAGCAAAAAAAAACAGGAATAGTCTGGCCTATGTTAGCAGCAGTTGATTGTAACTGAGCTTACAACGTCTGATTCCAGGAAAAAGCTGTCCACAGGACTGTGGCAGTAGCTTTGCAATTTCTGAAAGTAGCTATCACCCAGGAAAGACTCTGGTGCAGTAATTGGGCGGTCCTTCAGCCGTGCTGGCGAGCGATCATCGTACCCCAGCGTTTGGGCCTGAGACCCACGTGTTGGAAGCAGCCCCCCTGACCGAGGCACTGACAGGCTCTTGGGAGCCCGAGAGGTCCCATTCTGGATCAATACATGTATGTGTGTGTGTGTGTGTGTGTGTGTGCGCGCATGGCTGAGCTCTGTATCAGGAGCGACTTTCCTGCAGCAGCACCGTTGGTGTCGTGCTGAAGCTGCCGCCCCACTGCAGCGCTCTGGGTTTCTGCTTCGTTCTGCTCCCAGTGACATGGTGTCAGTTCAGATCGGTTTTAATCGGGGAGCTGGAAAAACTGGGTGGGCGGTGAGAAGAAACGGTGCGGAGCGGGGTGTGGGGGGCAGGAAGGAAAAAAAAAAAAAAAGTTGTTTCCGCCCGGTTTCGAACCGGGGACCTTTCGCGTGTTAGGCGAACGTGATAACCACTACACTACCGAAACTGCCGGTAATACATTGCCTTGTG